TATTTTCTCATTAACATGCCATTTGAATCAATGAAATCGCCATAAATCAAAATTGAAACATTTTAAGCACAGGGACGCTGCAGCCTGATACAATAAACACAATCACCCTCTTGTTTAAACATGCATTTTTGAAAACATGTGCTTTGCAGGAATTGAAGGCTAGACTGTTGTGCAACCTTTAAATCCATATAAGCAACAATCCTTACATTTGTCTCCTAGCCTGGAGCTGGTGGCCACTACATACATGAGACTGTGACCTTAATAGTAGATAAAGAAGAAACAAAGGATTGCCATTGTTACAGCAGAAAAGAAATGAGAACATTTCTCTCGGAAAATATTGCGTAAGAGATCTCTCTTAGAAATCAAAACAACATTATTGTGACGGTGATGTTATATAAATAAAATTTAGGAACTTGAGAGCTGAATATATAAACCTCAAATGAAATTGCATACGTTGCATGAATGTCTAACTTCCAAACAGAAAAAGTCTGAATCACCATAAAAACTTGATTTTTAAGAGCATTTTTTGATGTTCCATATCTTCCAACGTCTGATCAGAAATACCTTTGTTGTTTCTTGATTCTGGGCACTAGGGAGGGAATATGGGGCTCAGGCAGGTTTTAATGAGTGCCTATTTAATCAGGAAAAAATAAAAAAGAAAGGGAGAGACGGTGGGAGGAGTTCCAAGGGAGGTGTCCTTGGGCTGTTTCTGAGACTTGGTGTGTAGCTGATACTGACTTCAAAGCACTGGAGCAATGCTGATTTGCAGCAGAATTAGTCCTTGGATAGACATTTCTGACTAGTTAAGGACACTGAAGACTTTTAAGGCGCAGGAAGTGTGTTGGAAGTCGGGAAGCAGTGGCTTGCCTTTGATTTTTGCAGATGTGTTCAAAATGCTGGCCTTCAAAGAACGTTTGCTGAGTTCACGGTACAGTACTGGCATGTGATTGGAGGATGCGGAGGGCCAAATGGCCTGCTTGGCAGATGCCTCAGAAAACAGGTGTGGCATGAACGGAAGCACAAAAACAAAACCACTGGAGGTGGCAGGGGGAAGGGTGTACTCAACGTCTCTGAACACAGGTCAGCGGTTGACAACAGTGTCACTATGTCCGGTTGACTTTCTGCGTGCCGGAGCTTTGTTTTCCACCCTCAACTGCGCCTTTACCACTCATGCCCCTCTCTTGGGAGCTATTATTTGGTGAATGTTTACCTACTGGTACGGTGTCAGGCATTTATCTGAATCAAACATAAGGAGCGGGGAGAGACCAGATGCCCATGGACTGACTTAAAGTGGCCATGGATTGCAGTGCAGATGAAGGGCTACTCTGAGGGTAAAGGAATACATACACAGCCTCATACATGTTGCCTCCGAGAGGACGATGATTCTAGTGTTGTTTGAACATGCTGGAAACTTAATCCCCAGTGCAACTGCGCTGATAGGCCAGGGCCTTGAGAGCTGATTACACTGTGGGGCAGGGGCGTTAGAGAGAATCAATGCTGTTATCACAGAAGGGTCCTTGTAGCTGAGCGTGTGTGTGGCGGGGGTCCTTGAGAAGGATGGATCAGAGTGTTTTACTCTCCCTTCCTGCCACTCCACCCTCCTCTCTCCTCCTTCTTTTTCTTTTTCCTTCCAGGAGGTTATGAGGTAGCAAGAAGACCCTCAACAGATACAGCCTCTCAATCTTGGATCTCAAAATCTCCAGAATCAGAAGCCAATTGCAATTTATTTATTATAAATTATGATTCTGTGGTATTTTGTTACAGAAGCATAAGATGGCATTTATTTACTGCATTAAAAGTTTGTCTTTTATTTTTTCACTAGGAAGACAGTTTAGACTCACAATCAGTAGGGCCTCATGAATATTTTGTAAAATGGTACAAAAACTCTGTGGCTTTGTTTCTGAAGTGTTTCATTTGTTACCAAGAATGAAAACCATCATCCTCAGGCCAAGGAATTATCTGCACCAGGATTTATGTTGAAATTCCAGGTTGAAAATGTTTCCCTCTCTTGTCTACTTTTTATGATCTATAATGAACATGAGAACACTATAGATACATATCTTCAGAACCAGCTAACCTATCAATGCATCAGTTATTAATAAAGGAAGTTGTCTTTAACCACAGAAGCCTGAGAATGGGGGACGAAAAGTGTAGGTTATGGAAACAAAGATCTGCGGAGAACAGCCTATGCTGGTGTGGTTTTGTTTGGCCAATAGGGGCTATGACAGCACAGGGAAGGCTGAGTTTGTGGGCGTTTCCAGCTGATTGCCTCCAGCGCCACCTGGGTTGCGAGGGCAAAGACAGGGGATTGCAGGGACGATCTAGCTCTTTCGCAGCATTACATGTTCAAGAAGCAGGATGTTTCGCTTATCTTTGGGTTTTCCAGGTGACAAAGTCCTCTTCCAATGCCCTTCTTGGTAAAGGAGATTTCTTGAATGTGCTCTCAGGACCCTTAGGCCAGGGTGATTCTGAAGCAAGGGTTTATGAGGCCCCAGCACCCAACACTCCGTAAAACTGGTTTGGGCCCTTTGACACATAGAGTCCTGTCTACTGAGGATGTCAGAGTCAGGAAGCAAAAGGGAAAATAAACAAAAACGGGCATTGCACGCTCATCTCCTTTCTGGTGATTTCTCTCAGGTCCACTTGATTGGAAAAGCTCTTCCTGTGACCGTAGCCAACGCTTACGCTCTAAAGCAGCTGGAATGGTGCTTTGAGAAGAACACCGAGAGCAGCGACATTGGGCCTCACTCCTTCTCAAGCACAGACTACATGGGAAACCACAGCAAGTGTCTTGCCACCTAATATCTCATTTCACAAATGGGGACATTGAGGTGCAAAGGCAAAACGACTGTGGCAAAACCTTAGATGCTAAGCTAACGGTTTCGGTTTTCTAACATTTTGTGAAGGAAAATGCCATGCTTGCGTCTGTGTTGGGAAAGATAGATTGGGTGGCAGAGTTTGAAAGTGACAGTAAAGGCTAAAATCACCAAGAACTAATTGTGTGATCGGTCTTCCCCGATTTTCCCCTCAGACACTTGTGCACACCTTGGCCACTTATACAAACTACAATTTCATTTACTCAACATTCTAGAGTGATTCTCTCTCTTAAAAGACTCGATTGCACGTGCTCTATTTTCTCTTAGGAGTTAGAACCTCAGTAATACACCATCATGGAAGGTTGAAGATGCATTCATTCATGAGCAAGCATCTATAGCTTTTCCTTGGGTCACTTGGATTCTGCCTTCCTGCCCACTGAGGCAACTTGAGCCACATTCTCAGCCCCAACAGTTCCACACTCTGTGAATGTTATTTCACACAGCACAGACGTTTTACAGCAGTATGATGACAATGAGCTAAAATGTATATTCTAGATTAACCAACGGGCTTCTAAGAATAGACAAAGGTCTTTCAAAGAAACCAAGAGTGAGAGGAAACACACAGTGCCTAACCAATATACAGATAGCACAGCACCTTCCACACTCCAGTCTGTGGTGGTTGTCTTCTGAAGGATGAGCACGACACCACCTGGTTCGGGCCATAGGAGCAGGAGAGCTGCCTGTGTTCCCCACCAACTGCAACATTCAAAAGAGAAGGTTCTGCACATTGCCTGGGCGGCACAATAAAGCCAAACCCGTTAGTAGGGGTGTGGGCAAACCAGCACGGATGTTGTGAGCATGAGAGAGCTGTCCCCATTATTTATCTGTCATGTGACGCCATGGGTGGGGAGAGACACCCTCCCTCGTCAATGCCTGAGGCAGGTGGGAGAGCTGGCCCTGAGGTCATAGGAGCAGAAAGGCTGTCCCTGCTCCTCATCAGCTGCAACGCTCAGGAGAGTAGCTCCTATATGCCACACCTGAGCAACACAGCAGAGCTGGCCCTGAGGTGTAGGTGTGGGAGGAGTGATCCTGAAGATGTGAAAGCGACAGAACCACCTCCACCCCTATCACTGTAAGGGTGACCTAGCCGGGGCAGTGCAGCAGAGTTCACCCTGGTGGTGAGAGCAAGGGAGAGCTGGTGAGCTGGTCAACCCTGCAACCACACAGGCTCAGAACCAGGGTTATGAGTTGGCCTGCCCCAACATCCACCCAATTTATGATCTTCTGGAGCACATGAAGGGACCGGTCCTGCAGACACAAACCCGCAGGATCTCCATGACATAGGGCAACAACAGGATAACCAAGAGGAGTCCAGGGAAGACCCACCATCGACAGTGTAGCAGAAACCAGATGTGAATGAAGCAAAGAATAAAAAAAGTAAAAAGTTTAAAAATTATTCTCTGCTCCTTAAAAAACAAAACCAAAATATCACCTGGTACCACTCCTGGGTTCTGCTTATCATATCATATTAGTATTTCTGATGTCATGGGTTATTAAGGAAAATCGGCTTACAAATAAGGTACTTCTGAAGCCAACAGTACTGCAGACAGTCTACCTAGGACATCTACACACTTAGAGCAACAGCGACAGCATGTTACCGGACATGGTAGAACTGTAAGTTTGCTGAGTGGAGAACCCTTCCAGGCAATAATGGGAGAACAGGAGCTGTTTTTAATTTTTAGATTTTAGAAATATAAACATTCTTCAATAACTAATAAATGGAAATATAGTTTCATATAATTTCTTGGAAATATTGGTATATTAGCATTATGTATTCATTCTCATTTTATTTTTGTTATTTTATGATATAATAGAGTATAAATCTTGAGGAAACAGAATCAAAGTTTGATTTTAGGTATCTATTTTTAAAGGCAACTTAGAAAGTATTTATTAACAAAGCTGATCACCACACAAAATTACTAAAATGTAATTATGAAGCAATGTAATTGAGTAAATATGCAAATATTCATCAGCTGAAATACAACCCATAATGCCAATCAAATTCAGTTCTTAAACCAAGTCTTCCTTCAAAATGTATTTCTTTAAAGTCCTGGAGCTGTTTTCTTACATATGATGTGTCAACATTAATTTTAGGGCAAAGAAATGATTTGACTTTATGACACCTTGGTTCATTGCATTTATTTAGTCTCAAAGGATAATATAAACATCGGAAGGTTGCCGTTAGATTCAAAATAGCCAGAACTCCAGCATCCCACATAAAACATTGCAGATTTAGGCAGTTAGAACCTAGCTCTCCAGGAGTTTCTTGATTATTTTCTTATATAGGGGTGCTTGCTTGTCCAGGCAAATTTTCCTCCCATTCTTCAGAGTGGCTCTGTCAGGGGAAAGGGAAGGAATGCAGCCTTCAGGGCCTTGGTTGGAAGAAAGGAAGAGACAGAAAGGAACAGGCGGAGGAGAGGACAGGCCAGGGGGTATGGGCAGGACTCACATGAGCTGGGGAACCGCACAGTGGCGTCCTGCCTTGATCACCTCCAGGGCGGTGATATGCTTAGGGTGGATCCCAGAGGAGACGGTCTTCACACACACACAGTGAAGACCTTCATCGCCTTCTTCAGGACTAGCTGAGGGCATAAAGAGAGAAGGGAGAGGGGAGCAGAGGAGATGATGAGGAGTGACCACATCATCGGCCAGTGGTACCTCTGACCTTTCCTTTATCCTTGGCTGTAGCATCACCCCTCCCTCAGAAGGCAGGTGGACAGTGAAGCACAGTTGGCAAGCCAATACAGCATGACTGGTGTCTAAGAGTTCACCTCCCCACCCCTGAGGCTCCTGAACCATCTCCCTGCCCCTAGGATCCCTTCACCCCCCTCTCACCAGTGGTGAAGGCAATCGCAGCTGGCAGAAACAACAGGCCCAGAAGCAGCAGCCCAGGGTTGGGCCGGGGGCCTCGAAACACTGCGGAGGCGCTCATATCAAGAGGGTGGTACCAGATCCAAGGACTCGCACGGGGCCTGGGGCTCTAAGCACAGGCAGGTGGTTCCTGAGATCTTCCAGGCACTTTTTATCTCCACTGGCAGCCCAGCCCGGAAACCTGGGATACAGGATGAGGAACTCTCCTGCGGAAGCAAAGACACTTGGGGAACAGTAACTGGGCTCTGGCCAGCCAAGATTAAAACAAAACCGAGCGAAATGAAAAGCTGAGGTCAGCTGTCTCGACTAGTAGCTGGTAGCGGGAGCTCCCCTCTCTGATGTGAGCTCGCACGAACGATGACAGTCAGAAAGAGCAGGACTTGAATTTTGCAAACGGTGTGCTGCCTGTGAAAGAGCTTTCTGCTGTCACCATACAGCTTACAGAGCTTGTACCTTCAGGACCAATGCGTTGCCTTCCCAACTTCCAGCTGCATTACCCCAAACTGCCTGTTCTCTTCTGCCTTTCTTGTCTGTCACTCTTCCTGTTGATTACAGGGAATTGGACCACCGTGTGGTTAGAGATGTGTGGTTTGAAATTTATTTTCTGCCACTAGAAAGGTTAAAGTTAGGGTCTGGGCAATGACTTCTGAATTTCATCCTTATACGGAGGCCTTCCCTAACCTCCTAACTATTGTCCTATCTACTGCAGGAAGCAAGGAAGGTCTGTTGTCCTCAATGCTCTTTTCGGAAAAATCACCAGTTATATTTGAATGCATTTTTTTGGATGACATCTTTGAGTCTAGCTATTTCTCTATTCATCTTTACTCTGGATAACTTTGATAAGAGAGTTTGCTAGGACCGTTGGAAGTTTCTGTATTACATTATGCCACATACGGTTATAATTATGTGGCCATTTATCTGCCTATCCTGGATTATGATATTGCCAATCATAAAAATTCCCTGGAACATACGTTTCTGAACACTCAGCATCAGCTACGATGGCTACTGCAAAACATGTCACAATTTCTGTGTGTTTAGGGAACTGAAACTCAAGACCTCTGCTGGATCAGCATCAAAAGGAATGGATAAGAGGGTTTGAGACTGGACAACAAAGAAACACTCCGTGCAGCTTAGCCCCGGATTGCAGCGTTTGCAGAGAGAAGGAATTAGGGCAATACTGTCCCTAATACAGTCAAGGCCACCTTCCTCTACATTCAAAGAAAATAATCCAGTGTAGGTACACAGCCACTAAAGATACTTTGGTCTCCAGAAAAATCAGCATAGCATAAGCATTGCCATTTGAGACCAGCCTTGCTATCCCGCGGGGGAGAGCGACTGCTTAGCATGGGCACAGGATGCCGTAGCTGTTTGTCGTTGTTGGAACAAAGCTAGTGAAAATTGTCTCCGTTTACTGCTTCGTCATGTGTTTATGGACACTTGTGTGGTTTTTACTGGATAAGTGCTTATTTTACAGGCAAAATATCCTTAGGGACCAAGCCTCTGCTGGTGAAGAGACGCAAAGGGGGACTCTCCAGTCACGCAGAGCTGGAGTGGCTTACATGCTTAGCATATAAGTGTTTCCCCAAAGCCCATGTGCAGATTGGAGTGGATGAAATTCTTTCTCTCTCCATGATCAGTAATGATAAGTATACAGTAATAGAGTTCTATACCAAGTAGTATCTTGTGTGCCAATAACATGCCGTGACATGTAATACAGACCCTTAGGAAAGGATAAGTCAATGAAAGCGTTGTGCTCCTGAGGACAAAGAGCAGGATTCAAAGACGCACTCTGATCATTTTATGCCCTACAGCAGGTTTCTTTTGACCCTGCTGGGAAATGAACCCAGGGACTCTCACATCCTGGGTAAGTGCTTTACCACTGAGCTACATTTCCAACTCAAAGGAAGTCTCAGTTCCCTCCTTCCCTGTAATGTGGGGAACGCTAGTAGTTATGCTAATAGCTAATTGCTGACATTTCTAAGTGGGTTGTTATGTGATATGCAGTATTTAAAGTCTTTGAATTTTCTCACACCAGCTCTATTAGACAGGCCAGAGAGCATTCACATTTTAGCAATAAAGAGACTAGTAATTGATACACATAGAATACTTAATATGCCTAGAATTTTTAAGAAATAAATTCTTGCTGGTGACATTCAAAATGGCACAAATCATCAACTTAGTGAAAATATTGTGAAATACCAAATATTGTTTTTAAAAAAATAGAGGCCTAGAAATGTTGCCCAGTGGTAGAACATTTGCCTACTATACATGATGCCCCAGGTTTAGTGTAAGAGAGAAAGAGGCAGAGAGAGAGAGAGAGCGACAGAGAGAGAGAGAATATACTAAAGCCTTTAGCCACAGGTAAGACCTATCTTACATGTTTCAATGTTTCAAACGAGGGTGAAGTTTTAAAAAGCCAGAGGGTGTTAAACCCCTTTTCATCACACGCTTTCGGTGCTGCTGGTGTTGAGCAGACTTTTGAGAAAGTAAATGACCATTGCTTATAGAACTTAAATCTTATGACTTTATTATGTTCAATTTGAAGGTTAAAACAAATGCTAGAGATCATTGCAGAGGTTGCTTGGAAACAAGGCATTCTAGAGCTAAGACAATGGCAAAACTCTTACAAGCAAGTATCCACTGAACAAGTATTCTCTGCTTGGATCCAGGCAGTTCCTATTATCATTGACTGCTGTGAAATCTGACAATATATGTGTATATACATACATGTGTATAACAGCAGTTAATGAAAAAGGAGGCCACGGGTATGAAAAAGAACAGGGAGGATACATAAAAGGGTTTTGGAGGGAGGAAAGGGAAGGGAAAAGTGATTAACCTATAAACTCAAACCTAAAAGAAATAATTCAAAAAATACAGAAATAAAACTTGACATAATGCACTTGGAAAGAGAACTTCAACTAAAGAAATGCACAACACAACCCAATGTTTAGCCAAGAATTGCAGAAATCAGCCATCAACTGCCAGTTCCAACTCGGCTCATTTTCATCGTCTTTGCAGCAGCCTTTGATGCACCTTCTCAGAACACAAGGCGAGTTCTGAGACACAATGAAAGTGTATCCCAATTTTAAGGTGGAAAATGACTCTAGAACATTCAGATTTCAAAACCTGGCCCTCCCTGCACTGAGGAATGGTTTAGCAGAAAGTCCACAGATGGTTGGTCAATACCCTTCCAATATCTTCATAACTATTTTCTTGATGGCAGAGGCATTGGGGTCCAGGCAGACTTTTTCTCCACTTTTCAGGGTGGCTCTGCAACAGAGAACAGGATTGTTATCTTCATTATAACTCCGTCCCTCTGTCAGAACAAATCCCTGAGGATGGAGAAGAGACGATAGGTAAAGACGAAGGGTTCCCGAATGACAAGAAAAACAAAGAACTAGGGACTTACATCACTTCCACATTGGCACAGTGGGCTCCTGGCCTGAACACGTTCACCGTGGAAATTCTATTCAGTGGGATTCCAGAGATTGTTTTTGTACATTGACAGCGCAATTCAATATACGGGTCCACATTAATTGCTACATTGGAACACAAGACTTAATTAGTGATTAGAAATTATCTTTCTTCCTTTCCTTACCGGGAGATTGGAAGTAATCGTCTCTCTTTCACACAGACATTGTGAATATGACCCGCAGACCTTCACTAACAAAGCTTGCAGATTGCCTTCCACATACGAAGGGCCCGTTAAGTTTATCTTAGAATTCTTGGTCATCACACCCGCCACACCCAGAAACCTCGGTCCAGCCACTTTGTGGATATCTCCAACCTCCCGCACACACATCACAAGCTGTGCAGACACAAGCGGAAGGTAAGTGGCTTTCCGCCTTCGTCTTTCCCTGAATTTCTCTTACATTGGCCAATGGTCGTGGGAACCAGGGCGGTGAGGAGCAGGGCCAGCAGCGACAACACCTGTAGGTGATGAAGTGGGCTGGTGCTGGGGCCAGAGGATGTCGGTCTGAGTCTGAAGCCCATGGTGGAGAAGACTGAGCTAGAATCTGTTTCCAGAGCCAGGAGACTCGGCTGAGGATGAGCTGCTGCCTGGAACCCTGCTGCTATGTGGTCTGAGATGCCTCCACACCTCTTTTTATACTGCTGAAGAGGTGGGGAAGGGGAGGTGACTGTAGCTCTGATGTGACCATAAAAGGATGGCCAAGTTGGGCCCAGCCCACACTGACCAGGCAGGTTAAAAATCCTGCAGAGTTAGCGACAGGCTGTGCATCATCTCAGCCCCATTCCTACTGTCACTACTCTCCATATCTGACTCTTACGGATGTATAAGCACCCGACTTAGAGGTAAGACCGAGGACAAACTGCTAAGAGCATTTTCTCTGTGTGAGCAGGTAGTCATGGGCCACACCCTTCCCGTGCAGTCTGGGGGGGCTTAAAAAACACCAATCCTACTTTCAGTCATAGCTCCTTGAAAAGAACAGCCTTTCCCTTACCAAGTGACAAAGAAAGTTCCTGTCTTGGCACTTAGGGGGAAAATATGAGTCACTTACTGAAAGGGTTCCTTTGGGTATGTGTACATGGGCTTCTATCTGTCTTTTAAGTAAATTTTCTTTTGCAATGTCATCCAAATAAACAAGTACACTCTCTTGTATATTCATACAATAAACTATGTGATTCTACTGTATATGTGTGTGAATGTCAAGATCAAAATATTTGTTGTCTCTTTTATTTTTAAAGAAATATTCATACACCACAGATACATGAAAATTAAGTATGTTCTTTCCTCTGCATAGTTACACCCCATACTACTGTTTTTCAATAGTGGCCACCGTTGCCAAATAGAAATTTGGCATTTCTATTCTATCTGTATTTATATGTATGTATGTATTTATGGAGACATACACTAAATACATATGCACAGAAAGATCTTTCTGCACAAGGAAATGAATGATTCTATATGAATCTTACATAATTTCCTCATATTCCAAAACTCTGAGTGAAAGGATTTTAACATTATTCATGATCTTTCATTTTTCTGGCCACGACAAACAACCCTATGTGTGGCTTACAATATTTATTGATTTCACTGAACACTTTTTATATATATTTAACACTATTCAAACTTCTTTCCATGTTCGATTGGTAAGATTTCTGTAATTCTTTCTTCTTGGGTACAAGACACAGTTGCTCAGTGCAGATCACACTGGCCTCACACTCGCTATATCGCAATGGTTATCAAACTGTTGGTCTCAGCTTTTTGGGGGGTGGTGGTGAATGACCCTTTCACAGGGGTCACATATAAGATACCCTGCATATCAAATATTTATACTATGATTCATAATAGCAGCAAAGTTACTGTTATGAAATAGCAATGAAACAATTTTATAGTTGGGTGGTCATCATAACGCGAATAACTACATTAAAAGGTCTCAGCAACTAGGAAGGTTGTGAATGCTGTTATATAGCCTAGGGTTGCCTTGAGCTCATGGTTCTTCTTCATCCTCCCAAGTACTAAGATTGCAAGCACACACCATGATGACCCGTTTTAAGAAAATCTTATCACAAAACAGACACTGTCAGTAAGGTTCTGGAGGATGCACCAACAAATCAATTGCCGTGTAAGTTTTATAAGCCTTATTCGTCTTGATATAAAACATCTATCTGTTAACTTCTGCTTATTCATGAAATACTAAACACAAATTATGTGCCTGACATAATATTCTTTTGTGACTTATTCATTTAACATTTTCTATCTCACCAAAGACCTAAAATATTTGCCCAAAGCATCGGGACTTTAATTAATGCGTTATATTCACTATTATTATATTATATTACTGTAAGTTGCTATACCTATGATTTGTATAAACCCCTTTCTTCTGTTTCAATGGTAAAAGTAAAACATGGAAAACAATGGTAATTCATTGTGAAAATGTGCAGAGAATATCTTAAAACAGTCATTGGATTAGATGCAGCTAGTTTATATAAAATTACAATTTTTAGAACTACTAGAAAATGAATAGATATCAGAGGCACCTAACTTAATAGCTTATTTTATACTTAATAGCTATTAAATAACTTAATAGCTTATTTTATTAATCTTTCACTATCACCCCATTTTCTAAAATATGTGGTAAGTTATTTTTATCTATCCTCCCCTTAAGTTGCCTTATAAATAGCAATCTTTCAGGAAACAAGCTAATTTCTAGGACCCAAAATAAAACCTATCTACTAGCTTCTGGGAGATCATTTATTTGTTAAAATTAACACGCATATTAGCTCTGCTCAACACAGAGAGTTTTGAAGTGCTCTCTCTCTCTCTCTCTCTCTCTCTCTCTCTCTCTCTGATAGCTCTTCCATGTGGTGCAGAAATAAGCTATCACCGGAAAAGCACGTGTAAAAGCATTTGGCAAAGAAGGTTCTAAGGTCAGTAAAAATTTCCTTTTGTTAAAGTTGAGATTGTGGGCGGGCAAGCGATTTTCTGTGAGAGCCAGAAGCAATTGTTTCCTACTTAAATGTCGAGTTGACAGAAACTGTGCGAATGCCAACAGCGCTGACACTCACAAGCGGAGGATTCCCCTTGGCTGCCCCGGGAAGTGCAGAGGAGGAGCGGCTCGTGCATGATGATACTGCGACCCCGGGGAGCGCTCCTGTGTTTTCTAGGCCTGAGAAAATTTACTTTTAATAAGTGCATTTGCTGAGCACCAAATGCATGAGCATGACTCAGTTTCCCTAAGCGGTCATCGCGTGAAGACATTGTAACCTAAGACCGCTTAGGAACCTGAGAATCCATTGCAGTCATCCTGTGAAGACATTGTAACCTAAGACTTCTTCGGAACCTGAGAACTCATTATTACTCATAATCACTAATTCTGTTTTTGCTAGATGCCAAGTGCACTCTTAATTTATTGGCATGGAGTAATTATTCTTCTTTTGAAGGTTCTGTTATTATCACACTTGAGCTTTGGCGGTTGTTCTCTCCCCAGTCTTCCTTTGGTGGGTGTGGATCTGGTTAACCAACTCCTCACACCATTGAAAATTCAAAATGACTGTCTCTGCTGGGGAGCCGGCTGCTGTTGGCTGCTGGGACCTCTCCCTACCACGATCCTCTTTCTTCTCCCCTTCCCCTCTCTTTACTGGATGCCTCTCTCCTCCCAAGAAAGCCATTGTTTTGTGCTTGCGAGCTTGTTCTGTGGACAAAAGCACTTGCCCCAAAGTCTGATGACCCACATTTGATCCCTAGAACTCTCGTGGCCGAAGGAGACACCAACTCTCCGAATTGTCCTCTAACCTCCCCATACATCCACAGAATGAATAAACGTGATATTTGTTTCAAAAAGAAAAACCATCACTTCGTGGGGGGAACAATGTATTCTCTATGGAAAGACCTTAAGAGGCTGAGGATCATAGTCATTCCCTAGCCAAGACAATGCACAGTGTCTGGTCTGCTACATAATGACCTTTGATTGACAGTTTTAGGAGGCTAATTGGTCACACATTTGATAATGTTACTACATAACTGAGAGAAGATATTATAGAGTATGGACTTTTCTCAAGTGTTAGCATAGAGTTAGAAATAAATCCTTAGAGTACTAAAATCATTCCAGCAGAATAACTTAAATTTTAAAACTATATATGGATTTTAATGTTCCGATCGAAATTTTCTCACTGTGACTAGGAATTTGATTGAGGAAACTGAGGACAAGAGCCCTACTTCCAAGCCAACTCTCGGAGCTTGTGAGGCAGGCTTCATAGTAGTTGGGGGGTGGGGAGGAAGCTGAAGAATGGGATGTGATGTCAGTTGTCAAGGCCGCACACCTAGAAATACTCGGAACGAGACTTGAAAGGCGATAGATCTGGTTACATACTATATGACAGCTATAAAGGGGAGTAGCCAGCCCCTGTAGATGAGCGAACCAACGGCTTCTTTTTATCCAACTGAGAGGTAGATCAGGTCAAGCGTTGCAATACACGTGAGAAACACATTCATTAAGATCATTTCCACAGTGGGCATAGAGAGAGTCTTGGCAGATTCTCTGAAACAAGATCCTGATACTGACAGAAACAAAACCTTAGACTTAACCTGCAGGTCTCCCCATGTCATGCTTCTTCTCTCTTCATAGTTGTGATATGAACGGCCCTCCTCAGGACACTGGAATTAATTCTACTAAGCGTGAATCAATTGTTAGCCCAAATCAGATGCACGGTGCACATTCTGCCTCTCTTCTGTGGTTTAGTCACAGGGGTGATTAGAATTCCCCAGGTGCTTCTCTGTGTGGTAAATGCCTCCTTCCGCAACATCCAGGAAGGATTTTCAAATTAAGTGTGTGAGAGTTTACTCACAAAAATTCTTTTCCTCGTACAAGCCTTAAAAACCATGCTAGAAACACAAAACCACTAGTCATATTTTACCATAAGTCTGTCATACCTTTGGGAATGAAATGTGTCACACTCAGAGGCAAGCAGGAAAGTCTGGCAGATTGAATGAAAGATGCTAGAAATTGGAGAAGAAAATTGCCTGAGCCAAGGCAGGTATGTAGATTGACTTTTAGCCAACCACATATTTAATTCCTACTGTGTGGGGGAGTTTCAGAGAGACAAGAGTGAAGCAGTATTTAGAGATCGGGGTGAGGAACCAAGGGGACATATCCTTAGACGATAAATGTTAGATTAATCTCTCCCAGGAGCTTTCAGCCTTGTGCGTGTTGGTGGAAGAATCCACTGGTATTGGATGTAGTTGTTGAAAGAAAAAGAATCTGCTCATGCCCTCCCCCAAGACCAAGTTCTCAGCACAAAGGAGATTTATTTGCCCCACAGGGACAGAGGACAGGGATAAGGGACAAAAAGATAAAGAGGAAGAAGGAGAAGGGAGAGAGGAAGGAAGAGGGGTAAGGAATATTTGTCCCGGAGGACAAAGGACTGCCTCTGGATAGAGAGGAGATAGACACGGTACGAAGGAAAATGGTGGATTATAAAGGAAAAATGGGGAACCCTGTTAGGATGAAGTGTTTAATTGTATTATGGTCATGTTAATTAGGTGAATCAAAGGAGGATTTTGATTGCTGAACCTCAATACTTTGAGAGCTGGACCTTGGTGGTCAGTCTCAGGAAGAGGTAGTGACTGAAAAAAGGCAGTAGACCTTAGCGGCTAGCTTTAGGAATGTAATCTAATGGTTTTTAGCAAGGCAGAGGGAATGTGGAGAATGGCAGAGCCGGCTTGCCACACTCTAGCTGACCAGAAGCCCTTCCCCTGTCACTGGGGCTTCTGTATAAGCTGCACCTTGGTAGTATACCAAATCCCATTTGTTCTCTACAGAATGACCAGCTGTAGAATGGCCATGACACCTAGAATCCCAAGGGCAATACAAATCCGAAGGAAGTCAGCGGTCTAGAACGAAACTCAACTTACAAGTTTCACCTCTGGATAAAACAACAAGAAGACCATGCCGGTGACTAAGCAAAGACTAAGCAGCTGCTTTAGCTAAGAACTTAAGCGTTGCTGTTTTCACTCGCGCAGCTACAGTGCGTGTGAATCAAAGCACCCACCTGGACGTAGGAGGACGTGGTTTTCCCTGCCCTGGAAGCACCTTTCTTTCTGCAGACACCCTCCGGGCGGGGTTCTCCTCACCCATGCACGTGCTCTGTAAGGACGCCGCTGTGTGCTTTGTTTGCAAAACTTGTATTTCCTCGTCCAAGCACCTTTGCTATGTTTGCTTGTATTACTCTGAGGCACTTAATCAATCAGAGATCATGCCAATGAAAGACTGTCCCAAACACTGGAATTTAGAGTGCCAGTATCCACGACAGTCTGGTTTGTTTCTTCACATTTCCTATAACATGAGATAATAAAGTGTATTGTTTGGGAGATTAAAGAAGCTACTCTGCAAGCTTAATAGTTTTTTTTAACTTAGAGGTATTTTCTACTTTTTTATATCATTAAAAATCTTGTCAACAAACCATACTTTATAAAACTACTCTAGGCTGTCTCATATCTTTGAGTCTTTTCCTCTGTCTTCCTCTCTATCTTTTGCACAGGCACATCAGGATATGATACTAGAAAATACATCAGTTGAGTTGATATTTTATATGTAATGAGAGCGATTAAGTGATAAAGAAAAGACAAAGCTTTTATATAGGTAATAATATATTAGTATATACTAATATGTGAAAGTACTTAAAATATTAGTATATACAATTTAATTGTAGTAGATATATATTTGTGTGTGAGTTAGATTGGTATCCTTTTGGATGTTCCTAAAAATGGACTATTTATGCAAATTACCATCTTATTGATAGAAAATGAGGCTTCTTAGGTCTATATCATGCCTCTATTTAAATATCTACCATGTCCTAAGCCTTTTCTTAGGAACTGTGATGAAATGATAGATATTGCCCTTACCCTCACAAAGACTACAGTGGTCCTGGAATAGCCAGGCACTGAACACTTTGGTGGACAAAATGTTACAGAGGAAAAATGCAGAGTTCTATGGCTGAGATAGGTTGTTTTGAGCAACTGAGAGAAAAGATGGAGTTTTGCCAGGTGACTGCTAGGGCAGATGTCATGGGTCAGGAAGTTTCCCATAGATAAAGAGAAAAGAGGCAGGTTAATCAACACCCACCACGAACCAGGTTGCCGGCTTTAGGACAGTATCTAATAGCTTGGGTTAGGATGTTATTAGTTCACTTAGTCTGCGCCACACACTGGGGATACACAGATAGGTAGGATATATATGGTGGCTGCTTTAGGGGAATTCTTTGTAGATTAGGATGGAGAAACCCACAAACAAACATTAATATCTATTGTAACTCAGTCATTTAGTCTCTGAAAGATGCTGAGCTGAGAAAGGTAAGGAAAGATGTCACAAAAAAGGTACCGCTGGTGCCAGATTATGGAGAATGAGTAATTCTGCTCCTATGGGCAAAAGAGGAGCAAAGCCCTTGCAGGCAGAGCCATAGCAAATGAAACAGACCAAACGCCCAATCACAGAGCATGACGGAGATGCAAAGTTTGAGAAGAAAACAGCATGAGAGGCAGCCTTACTTTTTGGGCTTTGGTACCTTTTATTTTAGGTCTAGGAACTACAACTGCAGAGGGGGCTGGTTAGGACTGTGTCGCTGGAACAGACATCTTCCATGGTGAACTTTAAAAGGGTTAAAAAAAGAGTTATTTTAGCTCAGTTCCAAAGATTTGAGGTTTTGGTTCATGAATAATGGTCTTGATGTTTTATCTCTGGCAGTGCACTTTATCTGGCAGGAGTGCATGGTGGAGGAGATAAACCTTTTCACCCGTGGGGGTGGGAGAAAAACAAAGGTAAGGGTTAGTGTCCTCATGTCCCCTTTAAATGCATGTCCATTATGATCTAAATCCCCTGTCTGGGCTCCACCTTTTTAAGGTTCCACTGTCTCCTAACAACAGGAATCTGGGGGCTCAGTTTTTCAGGCATGGGCCTTTGGGACTTGCTTGAGAACTGAGCTAGAGCAAATATGAAGAAGTCTTATCATTCTTGTGTTTTCTAAGGTCACCTGAAGCTACTGCAGGCATAAGCTTAGAGAAAGACTGAAATAGTGCAAGGAACTAGGGAAATGCAACCTTTCTTCAGGCCAGGGAGCTGCAGAGTTAACTGTGGGAAGAATATAGAATTCAGGATAATGAGAGTCATCATCACATGAAATCAGAAACGACCTGAATGAAATTCAGAGATATTTTATTTTTTCTCCAAACAAAAATAATATAAACAAATAGGACACTTTAAAAAGAACAATCTTAAAATAATGGATATGGTGCATACATTAATTTCCTCATAACAAAGCCATCAAATTCTCAAGAAGACACCCTGTAGACATCTAAATACCTCAACAATGCACATATGTTTGGAGAAGCCAAGGTGATGCATTTGTATTCAAACAAGTTAAGTATGTTTTCAAAACTCTAAGAGTATAGATATTTGCTAAAGTTTCTCTTACTAGAAATAGCTTTTAAAGGTGTTTTTATGAAAGCTAGACAGGAATTTACCTGCTTCTTATCTTCTTCATCTACCTATAGCATGCACTTAGTGACCCGAATAATAATACTAGTAACCTAGTCAATAAATAGCACACAATCAGTTTGATGATAAGTCATGACATTATGCCATACTAAGAAGACATCAAATGTCTAATATTGTAAGATGAGAATACATTAATCCTTCTAAAACTTACACATTTAGAAATTCTAAATAAGGAAATGTATTCTACACAGGTTTCTGCATGGCACACCAGCTTGCTAATATTATAAAAGTTATATACCACCCCAGACTCAGGTGTAAGAAAGATGAACACACACAGGCAGCAACAGCAAAATAGTTTCCACTTTATAAGAGAAAGGATGAGGGTGTCCCCATGAACAGCTTCTAACAAAACTTCATTAATCTGTTAATTCCACAGCCTTCCCATGAACACTACAAGGTATACATGCATAAACAGACATATATATATACACATACATACACATATATATTTTTTTCTAGAGACAAAATGCAATAATCACTTTCAATTCAATACATTGTAAAAGGTTAACAACCAAAGATTCTTGACTTACAAGCTAAAACGTCACAATTTCCAATAGTGTAACAGACAGAAAAGAATGGAATGTGCTTTGCTAAATACGCTGGTAAACTGAGCAGAAAGCTGCAGGGACAGCAGCTTCCCTTTCCTCTTCAAAGCTAGGAGTTCACAAAGAAAATTACTAGGGGAAAAAAAACCAGCCCTTCTTTCTTGTCTTCACTGGAGCCAGAGTCCTCAGAGATTTTTCTGTTAAGTACTGGGTGACTTTTCCAGGGCAAGTGCATTTCTCTTGGTTTTCTTATTTCCACTGTTGAGAAAATAGTTATATCAGTAACTAAAATTCCTCACTCTAGCCTAACCCCTGCCCCCCCCCCCACACACACACCAGTAATGAGTTCTGGGTATTGCTCAAAGATGTGGAATTTGTAATAAAGATTTCCCTGGAGCACTGCAGAACAACTTTCTCGTGTCGATCCTTTATTCTAAGCCCAGTTTAGAATGTGGTACTGGAATCTCAAATGGTGTCAGGAGAACAAAAACCGTGCCAGTCTGCAAAGACTAAAACCCCCAAAGAACAAGGTAGCAAGTACCTGTCCAGTATTTTCTGAATGATTTTCTTCATCAAAGGAGCATCTGGGTCTAGACAGACCTCCTTCTTGTTCTTCAACTTAGCTCTGCAGAAAGAGAAGGAGAATAAAACAAAGGGGATGCACAGGTGAGCCAAAGTGACTGAAGACCAGACTGGGGGGTGGGGGGGAGTAGGAGGCGAGGACTTCCCTCTCCCAGGACACCTGCTGCACCCACCAGATCAGTATCAGAACTTACATGACTTCCACCCTGGGGCACTGCGGACCTGCAGCGATCACCTCCATATTAGCAATCATTTTGGGATTAACTCTTGAAGTTATGGTTAAGCAAACGCAACGCAGCTCGGATGTGGCGGTTAAGACGGCGGAAGGACCTCCTGCGGAGGAGATAGGGTTATAGGAGGTGCTAGCAGAGCCCTTTGCCAGCTCCTGGGGCCCGGTGACGAGCCGGCGGGGGTGTGTCAGGCACCGTGTGCCCGGCAGGTACTTTGCTCTCACCTTCAGCTAGATGCTGCGGCAGTGTGAGCAGCAGCAGAAACGACAGCACCGCGAACAGCGAGCGGGAACCGCCGGGGATGTGGGCAGAGCGGCGGGGCAGGAGACTCATTGTGGACAAGATCCTGGGCTAGGGAGCAGCGGTTCTAGAGATGCTGAGGGTGACTCTAGAGCACTGTGTTGGTTTCAGCCCCGCTGTACCCCCTTTTTATCTGCGCTTGTTTCTTCCTCCAGGCAGGAAATTCAAGCTTGGAGATGCTGGGGAAATTCCCTGGACTTGGAGTTGGGGCGGGGGGGGGGGGGGGGCGCCCCGGGGCGGTTCAGAGGGGCTGGGCAATGGCGTTAGGGAGGAGGATGGCTAGAGGAGTGGCCCTTTGCCAAATCAGAGAATGCTGTAGTCCCGCCCCAGGAGAAGATTGCTGCTCCTGCCAGACACCCTTTGGGGACTTCTCCCCCTCCTGTGTCAGGGCTGGTTAAGCCCAGCTTGTCCAGGGAAGACACACCCCTGCGGATGTCCTTCCTTGCCATGTAGGAAGACTGCCCCCAAAGGAATGAGGTTTGACTTTAGAAAACCCTCTGTTTCGTCTTTAGCCATTATTACTACAAACACGACAGTGGGGCCTGGGGAGGTGGTTCAGCAGTTAAGAGCACTGGCTGCTTCTGAAGAGGACCCATGACCACATGTTGGCTTCTTAGTTCCTCTAGCTCCAATTCCAGGGGATCCCACATCCTCTTGTGGCCTCTGTGGGGCACTTGCACACATTTGGTGCACACACAGACAAGCTCATAAATAAAAGTAAATTTAAACTGTGTGCTTAAAAATGAAGACTTTTTGTTCGTGAAATGCAAACATGCGATCCCTGACTAGAATGGAACTGAATCAAAAAGCAAAAAACAAAAGACAAACCAAACTTTCCCATTTCCCTCTCCTTGTCCATGGGTCGTTGTACGTTTCCTTCAGTTACTTAATGATTCTTTGGGATTCCGCCAGCTTTGAGAGCCAAGCAAATATGATGAAAGTGTCTTTACTCCCACTTGAAACCAGAGGCAGGAATCGCCTTCAAAATAAAAGTTGATTACTGGAAGTCCTATACTTGTAATTCAGCAAGTGTGTGTGTGTGTTTCTAGTTGGCCTACTAAACAAAATATTCAAAAATCACCCAGGAAATTGCTTTGGAAAGATGATGAATGCTTTGCGTTTGGCAGGTCCCTTTGCTATTCAACTCGGAGAGTATTTGTTCTCCATATGAGTAAGGTG